CCCCCCCCCCCCCCCCCCCCCCCCCCGGCATCTCAGTTGCCAGCAAATTAAGCAATACGCCAAACCCAACTTGAAAGAATTAAGTAGCATCAAATTTCATATTCCAAAAGTTATGATAGTCCAAAACTACTGTATAAGGAAAAACATGGAAAAAATGCTCCCCCTCACATTCTAGATCTCCATCTATACTGCCAGCAACTTTCCGCACTCATGCTACCTCATTTAATCGAAAATTTTAAGAAAACAATCAATGAAACAAAACTATCAACCTAGCACACAAAACAGAAGCAGCAGAGAGGGGAAAAATGGGAGAAGTGTTGTAAAAATGTAAAAAATATCACAGTGAGAAAGTAGCCGATAAAAAACAATCAAAAAACACTCTCTAGAGTGAACAAAATTGCCTGAGATCATAACAAAAAACGCAGAAAATACCAGGCTGCAACAAATCATTACAGTATGGCAAAGTTAGGACAATAAATTATACATTTGTTAAGTGAACAATTCTGAGAGTGACCGCTAGTGAATGCACTTCAAATAACAAACAATATGAACAGCATATTGGAAAAACTAAGAATGCGGAAATACAGAGAATATAACATACTTTGAAACAATTTAAAGTAACATTCGAAATAGTAAAAATGCGGGAACACAGAAAACAACGTACATACTTAGAATGAAAAGTCAAAAATTCATCAGTATTCGCTTCCTATGAAAGACTGAAGCAGCACTTGGGAAGCAAAAAAGACTGACAGCAAATGCCAACAGCAACTATCCGCTTGCAAGACTGCTGCCTTCCTCTTTCAAGATTTGGCCGGTTTAACCGATGGTAAATTTAACTCTCTTGGAACACCGGTATCAAATTAGTGTCGAAAAAAATTCGTAGAAGGCAGAGAAATTTCAGCAGGTCCGAACTTTCGATCTGCCGTACAACCCCACTGCTTTCCACTTCGCCACGCTTGCTAAGATACTTTGAAAAAATGCACCATAATCTTCATGAATAACGGTAGAAAAGGAGAACGTAAATGGAACAAACTCAAAAAAAAAAATAATAATAATTTACTAAACAATGAAATTCATGAATTCTAAAAACTATATTGCTCAAGGTTGCTTAGTTTGGCTGTTCAAACAGCTCTAATTCAGCGGAGGCCTTCAGCTCAGCAGTTGGCACTTTGCCAATTTCTTTGACTAATGCTGTATTGTTCGATACTGGTCAACTTGAACTCGTATTATTAAGCGTCACAAAATTTAACCTAAAAATATACGCATATATTTAAACTATTTAAATAAGAAGATATCCAAATAAAAAAATATTTAAATACAAAAATATTTGAAAAAAAAATATTTTTTTATAAACTGGAATTTTCTTTTTTACATATATTAATGCGCTCACATCATGATGATACCTGTTTTAGGTTACAGTTACAAATCGATTCTCGATAAAGTTGGTCTGTTTTTTTTCTTCTTAAGTTCCAGCTTCTTTTCCTCGTGTTTCTTTTTCATTGCTTCGTCCAACTTTCGCACTGCTTCACGTTCCAGTTCTTCCTTGATCACTTTTTTATCGTACGGGTTGCGAAAATCTTCTCTCCTGGAAAAAAAAGCTTACAGATGAGTAAAAATTAAATAAAAACACATTATCAAAAAATATCGGTGTAAAAATTCAATGTGCACAATGTTACCACGATTCTCTCGCAAGTCGGAAACGCAGTTACGCCAGATCCTTCTGTTTTAAGCCTCATTTCCCAGTTAATGCCCACTGGCTGTGGGTCATCTTCTGAGAGTGACCAAATGACCGTAGGTTTTTTTTCGTGGCTATTACTTACAGGATCTTTTCTAAACTGTTTACAGGTACGTAATTGTTGACGAAAGCTTGTAAAAAACCAACCTCGGGATGATTTCAAGTTGCTGCCCCGCTAAATCGAGCAATTTCTCAGCGGCATCATCGTGCAATCGTGCCACCGTTGCAAAATTATACGCCCAGTTAAACAGGAACTGCCATTCTAAGTCTTTCTTATACCTGTGCAAAAAAAAAAAGAAAAAAAAATACCATAAAGAGGTCACAAAATTGCATGAATTTCTTCAAAAAAAATGATTTTTTGGATGTTAAAATACAAAAATAATAATGAAAAAGAGAATTAAAGCTGTGGCAACAACGATTTAATATGAAGTGACAGCGTATAAAAAAATAAATAAACAATAAAGGAATGTACGGCCGGAATACATCTATTAAGATAGAAAAAATTAATAAAAATCTACTTTTATCGTTTTTATCAATTTCCAGAATTTAGTGGAACAAAACGTCTTAGCTGCCTGTTTTCAGGTCACACTCTCTCCCCACTTATTTCTATAATCCCTGTCTTTCTTCCCTTGACTCACATTCCTGCACGCTTTTTGCTTTTATCATATTGCAACTGGCTCAATTTTAAGAACAAACCTGAAACACTGTTAAATATCAGACTTATGAAGGCTTTCAAGAGAATAACTGTAGGGATCCGACACGAATGAAGTTAGTGGGAGATCTAAATGGTACTACTTCCAATGTTTTCATTAATTATCAAAATTCGACTGTGTTCCTCGTCTTCATGGTGGACCAGTACCGCCAGACAAACTGCATGTATTAACGCATAGACGATTTCAGGCCCTCGTTCTCTTCCAGTCTCCTAGCCAGGGATATTCTCATTTTTTATATCTCTAAAATTTCTACAACACTTACTGAGATGCTAGGCGCACCATTATGCCATGGTTTTTGATGCTGAATTTAACCGATGTTATTATACAACGGCGCAAACCTCTCCTCCCCCCCCTACCCCTTTGCTATCGGGTCAATTCTTGTTATTGGGCCTACGAAAATGAGAAACTGTCTAGCCAGAGATAATAAGAACATGAGAGAGATAAGAGAAAAGGATCAAACCTCTGAACAACAACGGAGGGAAAATGCAATGCCAGATTGCAATAGAACACCGTGTTTTCGACAACATTCCCGATTGCATCCCTCAAATCGCTGTTTTTTTCATTCGGAAATGTATCGTTCGGATTGAACTGAGCTTTTTCGATTACTTTTTTCGCATTATTCATTACCTGTAAATAAAATCTAGTAAAATCATGATTTTATCAAGGAAAAACCATGACAAAAAATCATGAATATACATTGAAAAATACATGGTTGCATAAAAAACTATGTTTGTAAAAACTAGCATGAAAAATTTTATTGGAAATTTACCAACGAATATATCCTAAAATCAGTCAATATGCTAAAAATCCTAAAACGACCGGGACGTTCATATGAGTATTCCATATTAGTGATGTTACTAGAATGTTACCACAAGTCCAGTACAGCTATAGGCAGATGGGTATACCGTTTCCTCGGGCTCTGGATAAACAAGTAGAAAAGCACAGAACCCAATACTTAACTAGGGATGTTGGAACGCTTTTTTTCCCCAATTTTTTCCACATTTCAGGTTGTCCAGAAAAAGAAATACAACGATGAATACTGCAAAAAAGTGCCCTTCATCCAGGATTGCATACCTCCAGTTAGTACTCGATGGCAAACATCATAAATTCCGCAAATCTATCACTACCGCTATGAACTTCTACTTCATGGAACACACTATATTATTATTATTATTATTATTATTATTATTATTATTATTATTATTATTATT